ACGACGACAACGACGAGGACGATGACGAGGAGGATGAGGAGGAGGGGGAGGAGGAGCAGGAGCTGAAGGCGGAGGAGGCGGTGGAGCAGGAGGAGGAGGAGGAGGCGGAGGAGGATGAGGAGGGGGAGCAGGGGCACGGGGAGGACGGGGGGGGAATGAGAGTAAGAGGACGAGGATCATGTGAGCTGGAGGTGCAGGAGAAGAAAGAGGACGCGGAGGAGAGGGAGGAGGAAGGGCAGGAGGAGGATGAGGAGGAGGAGGAGGAGGAGGAGGGGGAGGAGGAGGAGGAGGGGGAGGAGGAGGAAGAGTACTGGGAGGAATAGGTCGAGGTAAGGCTGGGGCCTCTGGTGGGGCCTCTGGTGGGCAGTTTGGGGGCTGGGGTGCCTTCCTGGGGGGATTCTGGGGGGTTCTTGGAGGCCTCTTGGGGCCTCCTGAGAGCTTCTCGGGGGCGCGGGCTCGGCATGCTCGCACGGGTCCCCCGTCCGGGCGCCCTCTTGGAGCCCTCTTGGGTGCCTCTTGGCCTGTCTCGAAGGCGTCTCGGGCCATCTTGGCGCACTCTTTGGGCCATTCTGGGAACCTCTTGGGAATTTGGGCGGTCTCTGGGCGATCGGAAAGCCTCTAGAGCCGTCTTGGAGCGTCGGGAAGGGGAAACGCCCAAGTCCTTCAGAAACCTAAGTGGAAATTGATGGATTGTGCCTCTTGGGGCCTTCTTAGGAGTGCTCCTGGAGGCCTCTTAGAGCGTCTTGCAAACCTCATGGGCCGCCTGCAGGCCGTCAAGGCGTCTTGGACAGATCGTTCGGCGATTCGGGCCACCGTCTTGGTGGCCTTTTCGGGCACTCTTGGCCCGTCCTTGAGCTTTGTTGGGGCCCGGGATCCCCACCCTACCACCCCGCTGGGACCACCCCCCCGACGGGAGAGGGATCAAAGAGAAGGGGCTTCCCTTCGACTGAATTACGATGTTACTCAATTTCGCTTTGGCTGGCGCACTTGAGACGCTGGGGTCCCCATAAGTGCATCTCGTTTTCCAGCGTGCCTCTTTTTCTCGTGTCTTGCATCGAGCTTCTAAACTCCACTTCGCTGACATTGATGATTCATGTGCGCATCATCATTCGCTCCTCCTCCTCAGCATCCTCACCCTCCCCGCTCTCCTCCTCGTTCTCCTCCGCCTTCCCCTCCTCTCCCATTCGCAACAAATTCTTTGTCATCCTCAACTCCCACACCCCTCCTTCCATCATCCGCCCCAACCAGGTTTTCCGCACCAAAGGTCTCACGAATTTCGTCTCGAGCGGGCTCGTGGTGCCAGCCTGCGTCATCGCCCCCCGGGATGGCCTGAGCGCGGCGCCCGCCAGAGAGCGAGGGCCACGAAGCTCTCAGAAGAGGCGCGTCCGCCGCCCGACGTGGGCGTTTCACACGAGAGATCCCACGTACCCGGGCGCGAAAGGACCCGTGGCATCCCATTTGGTCGGCCATTTGTGGGAGGCCCGAGTGCGATGTTTGTTGGCCCAGGGCTCCCACGAGTGCGCGAAGTTATTCGCGTTTCGCGGTCCTCGTTCCTTCTCCCACTCCTCCTCGAAGTCCTCTTCTCCCTTTTGGGGGGCGGCGCGAGAGTGCGAAATTATTCGCGCTCCGCGGAGCGCGAAACGCGAAGCTGGGAGCCCTAGTTCACCCGAGAGGTCCCACGTACCCAGGCGCGAAAGGACCCGTGGCATCCCATTTGGTCGGCCACCTGTGGGAGGCCCGAGTGCGATGTGTGTTGGCACGCGGCGATCAAGAGGCCCGGAAAAGAGACGCGCCCACCGCCCCAAACTGGCGTCCTGCTTGGGACGTCCCATCAGCCGGGGCACGCCTTGGCGCGAGTCGGCCCGTGTCGTCTCCCTGTTCTGTCCCCATGTGCCGTGCGCCTTTGCACCGATTGCGCATGAACCTGTCGAAGAAGAATTGCCCACGTGTGAGGAGCCAATCACGGCGGAAGATACCCAAGCGGCAGTGCGCAAGTTGAAGGAGCATGTTGACAGTGTCAGTGCACAATGGCCCACAGCCGTCATGCAGGAACGTTGGGAGACTAAAGCCACCCCGCTGGGTTGGCATTCGGCCAAAGTGATTTCTCTCATTATATATAAAGAAATATAGATTATAGGAAGGCCAGCCCAACAAACTGCTATACATACGCACAAATATCGTTCGTCAGCGTCCTACGCAAAGTCTATGCGATGATTGTGCTGGCGAGATTGGAAGCCGCCAGGTCGGCAAGGCGATAATGGAACATGCAGTTCGGATTCTGGACGGAAGTCTCGACCGAAGATGCCCTGTCCACTGTCTGGCACGAGATCCAACAGGCGTTGGCCGCAAAGGACGGCACAACATTTTCATTCGCTTTGAATTGGAAGAAGGTTTTTGACAGTATTGCGCCCGTGCGTTGGTTGGCGGCTTTGAGACTCACAATCGTGGTGGACGGCGTCGAGTCGAGTCATGTCCTCGGCAGCAACGAGTGGGCATCAGT